GGCAGGAAGGTGCACATCAGCCTCAACATCGGGGAAAGGTGGATGTTCCAGGTCCTGCTCTGATGCGGGCCCCTGCACTGGTGAGGCATAGCCGATGAAACCCGCGTGCTGCCACCAGCCAGCAAAGTGCGCTGGTGCAGGATATTGACCATAGAGGCTCCGAAGGCACGATGAGCTTCAATGAGCCTTGTACCTGCGTGGACTCCGTCATGTTCTTGCATGTACTGAGCCTGGGCCAGCAGCAGGCGTGCCTCTCGCAGCTGTAGGAGGTGCTGCTTCGCCTGAGCATACCAGGAGTCAGGGTTGGCCAAGTGCGTGGCCAGGTGCACCAGTACACGTGCATTGTGGTCAGCAGCGTCACGCCAGGCTGTCTCGCAGTCGGCGACGGCCATGTCATGTACGGCGGCCTCTGATGGCGCCAGCGCACGAAGCTGAGGTATAAGCATGATCATGAGCTCAGCGCATGGTACACACCACCATGTCCTATCATCGTGCGCCATGCTCACATCTTGCCAAGATACCGTGTCTGCACACCACCGCTCGGTGTAGGCGTTGAGGTGCGTGCGAAAGGCCTGGGGTACATATGTCGGATGATGTAGGAGGAAAGTGTCCACGAGCGAGTGCCGCGGCAAGCCGTAATAGTCAGCGGAGTCGCCATCCGTCTGATCAGCCAAAACTGCGGTGCCCTCGCTCGGGACCAGTAGCATATGGGAAGCAGGCATGGACATAGACCCCGAGGATCCATTGTCGTGCCCCTTCGGGTAGGGAACGGCCGCCATATGATCACGTAGCTGGTGTGCTGACAGGCAGACCGCGAGCATCTCCGTGTGCGTCAGGCCCTTCCAGATCTTGATCAATGACTGTGTCCCAAGGGTTGGTGCCGCCCTCCTCCAGGCTGCCGACCGTCGAGTCACCATCGGCAGTTGCCATGTTGGCAGCACGCGCCGCGGCGACTTCTGGCTGAATGGCGGCCAGCTCCGCGGCAGCGGTCGTGAGCTCCATCTGCTTTGCTGTGAGCTGCTCCTGTGACGCGTCGGCCTGCCTGCCTGGCTGGCCCCGTCGCTTGGCACCAGGCGGCTCGGTACCAGACGGGGCAGGTCGCCCGAGCCTGTCCCCGCCGCATGTGTAGTATCGCCCGCACTGCGGAGAGTCAGTGCGAAACCCGCACTGGCGGCTAGCGACGCAAGCCCAAGTGCCAGCAGGCGCGCCAGGGCCCGTTGCACCACGGCCCTCCTGAGGACCTCGGCAGGGGCCGCGCCCGCTTTTGCCCATGGCAGGCGGCCTGGCGCCGCGGCGACGCGAGATGGCGTCGCGATCGGCGGTGAGCCACCAGCGGCGGCGAGCCGATACACGGGAGCGCCGTAGCCGTCGATGCCACGCTGGAGAGCACGACCGCGGCGGGCCGCCCTTCGCGGCGAGTGTAGAGGTCCTCTGGGCAGCGCGCCAGGGCCACAGGTGGGCGCGGCCGCCTCGCGAGCGTAGGCACGCAGCAGCCGCGTCGCGCCAGGCAACGCCTGGGGCTGGGGGCTCTCTATTGCACGGACCCCGCGCCCCCCGCGGGCAAAATGGCTGCGGGGGGGGGGGGGCACGCAGGGAGCCACCTAGGACGAGAAGGAGGAGGAGGAGGACGAGGAGGAGGAGGTCCCGAGAGCGGGGAGAGTTTTTTTGGGGGGAAATTCGAAAGTGGGCGCGTGCTACATATTTAACTGAAGCTGTGCACATTGATCGCGCAATCAGAAATCTCTGCGCGCTGCGCAGTCGTCCAAGGGCTTGATCGATCATGCAATCGACTCTGCGCATCGACCGCGCAGCAATCGATGTCGGACTCCAAGACTGCACGAAATCGGACCTATCAGCCCGATTCGATTTGAAACCTCGACATCGATCGTGCAGTAGTCCAACGGCGAGCCAAAATCCGAAATCCAAAAGCAAGACCGAACCCAAAAATCAAAGCATTCAGCCCGTTTCAATTAAATTGAGACGGGCGGATGACAGGGCGGCGACGCCGCCGCGCCAGCGCGACCCACCGCAGGCGAGCAGCGGGGGCGGCAAAGCGCGCCGGCGCGGCCGGAAGACGGCGGCGCGGCCGGCGGCGACAGGCAGCGACGGGGCACAGGCTGCCGGCGGCGGCGATGCGGTCGCCGCCGCGCTCTGGGAGGCGGCTGGCCGGGACGGTCTCCCCATGGCAGCCCAGGCGGCTGGGCTGCTGGAGCGGGCCGCCGCACTGCGCCCCTTCCCTGCGGCTCGGGAGGCGGTGGCGCCGCTGGCGGCTGCGGCGGGCGACCCGCCCGCTAAGGGGCCCGCGGCGCTGCTGGCCGCCCACGAGGCCGCCCGGTCCGCCTAGCGGACGGCTGCTGCTGCTCGCGGCCGCCGCGCGGCGGCGGAGGGCCCGGCCGCGCGGCGGGCAGCGCGCCCCGCAAAGCCGGGGCGCGCCCGGCGGCTAGCTGGCCGCCCCTGCACTGCTTGCTCTTGCCGCTGCTTCCCCCTTCCCCCCCGCCCCCCCCCTTTTGCTTTCCCCCTTCCGGGGCGCACCCCCTCTTCGGATGGTAAAAAAGTGCCCCCCCTCTGCCGTGCACCCCCGCTGCCCTCCGCCCAATGGCCCCCTGTCTGCTTATTCCGACCGACCGACCGACCGCGCCCCCCCCCCTGCCCGACCGCGCCGCGCGCCCACCCCCGCCTTCCCCGCCCCGTGGCCCACGTCCGCGCATTCCGACCGACCCGCCGCGCCCCCCTCCTCTGCCCGGCCCCCCTCGCACCCCTCCACCCCGCGCCCCCCGCCCGAACCCCCCTGAGAACCCGAACCGTGCCCTCCCCCCCGCCTGCTTCCCCCCCCCACTCGCGCCCTGTCCTGTCCGACCGACCGACCGTGCCCCCCCCCTGCCCGATTGTGCCCCCCCGCCCACTGCCCCCCCCCCCCGCGCCCCTCCGCCCCGTGCACCGACCGACCGTGCCCACCTCCCTGCCCGACCGCGCCCCCCCCGCCCCCCTGCCCACCCCCCCCCCCCCACACCCCTCCGCCCCGTGGCCCCCGTCTGCTAATTCCAACCGACCGATCGACCGTGCCCCCTTTGCCGACCGCGCGCCCCGCCCCCCTGCCCCCCCCGCACCCCTCTGCCCCTGGCCCCCGTCTGCCCGACCGGCCGCCGTGCCCCCCCCCTCTGCCCCCTTGCCCCCCCCCCGAATCCTTCCCCCCTGTGGCCCCCGTCTAGAAATTCCGACCGAGCAGCCGCGCCGCCCCCTGCCCGACCGCGCAGTCTCGCCCCCCTGCTCACCTCCCCGCGCCCCTCCGCCCAGCGGCCTCCCGCACCACTCCGCTCCGCGGCCCCCGCCAGCTTAGTCAGTCCGACCGACCGTGCCCCCCCCCCCCAACTGCCTGACCGCGCCCCTCCTGCCCCCTCTGCCCCCCCCTGCACCCCCCCGCCTCGCGGCGCCCGTCTGCTAATTCCGACCGACAGCGCCGCCCTTCACGCCAGAGCGACGGGCAAGGCATGATGTCGCGAGGGCGCGTCGGCAACTGCGTTGGGCGGAAGCGCGCAAGCGCGCCTAAAGAAGCGAGCGCTCGACTACCCCCCCCGCCCCCCCCATCGGCAGCGCAACCCGCCAACAAGCCCCTGGCCTCAAACTGGCCCGGCTGCATTGCCGATGGGGTCGGGGCCCGACCCCGAGCGAGGGCGAACCTCCACTCCTGCGTCAATCTCCGCGATATAGAAGGCGTTCTACGCCGACCAGGTGGCGGGCCAGGCAAAGCGCGCGTCGAACACGACGCGCCTAGGACAGCACCTCGCCACCAGCATCACAACACTCACCTGAGGCCGAGCCTAAACAGGGCGTCGCAGTGCCGCTAACAACGGAGCCCGACCCCGCGCGCCGGCAAGCCTACGCAGCTGGTTCAGTTTCCGCCCAACAGCTGGGCCGTCGCAAGCCGAAAGGGCCGCGACGGTGAACGGGCGTGCCGCGTAGCATAGGCCTACCCCCGGCATTGCAACAGGTCCCTTGGCACCTGGCCGCCGCTGGACTTCGTTGCATTGCCGAAGGGATCACGCGGCGGAGCCCGATCCCATGCGCGGGCGAACCCACGCAACTGGGCCAGCGCCCGCCGAGGACTGCCAGCGCGAGAGCAGCCAGAGGCTGCGAGACAAGCAGGGCACAGGACGCGCCGCTTCATGTGGAAGGGCGCTCCGCGCCAGACAGATGGAAGGGGCGGGCGCGGGGGCGCGCGCCAGAACATCCGACCAGCAGCATCGCATCCTGTCCTTTGGCACCTGGCCTCCCAAGACTGGTCGCATTGCCGCTGACACCTGAGCCCGATCCCGTGAGTCGATAGTGAGATCGATACTGATATCGATAGAGAGATCGGCAGGTGCCCCGCGGTTCCCCGTGGTGTCCCGCTGAGTGAGATCGACACTGAGATCGATACTGAGATCGACGCGGTGCCCCGAGGTGCCCCGAAGTGTCCCGCTGAGTGAGATCGATAGTGAGATCGGCAGGTGCCCCGAGGTGTCCCGAGGTGTCCCGTTGAGTGAGATCAATAATGAGATGGATTGTGAGATCGATGGTGAGATCGATGCGGTGTCCCGAGGTGCCCCGTAGTGTCCTATGGTGCCCCGCTGAGTGAGATCGATAGTGAGACCGACGGTGAGTTCAGGAGGTGTCCCGCGGTGTCCCGTGGTATCCCGTGGTGGCCCGCGGTGTCTCGTTGAATGAGATCGATAGTGAGATCGATAAGTGTCCCGTGGTGTCCCGCGGTGGCCCGTGGTGTCCCGTTGAGGGAGATCGATAGTGAGATCGATTGAATCAAATTTTGTGCAATCGACCGCAATGCCTCAGAAGAGCAACGAGACCAAGCCCAGCGACGCGACGATGCCGACTGGGACGAAGTACGCGTCAACGGAGCGAGAAACCTCCTTCCCATACTGGTGCAAAACGTTGGTTTTCAAGCCAAATTGCGAGACCCAGGCCCGCGGAGCCGCGCGACAGCGAGATCACGGCGGCAGCCACTTTCAGTACGCGTACCCGCTGTACCAGGAAGCCCCGAACCGAGAAAACATGGAAATGCCGACGCAGGCGCCCGACTCCGAGGCCTGAAAAACGAATGCACCAGAAATGCAGTGGCCCAACCAGTTCGGGATCAAATCACGAGAAGCGCCGACCTTCACCAGGGTCGGGGGGCAGGCCGATAGGCTGCCAGGGCGGTCGAACAGGAGCACCGCGAAACCACTTCCTTTCGATAACCTGGCGAGCTTGCCACCACGCCGACGCCCTGGAGGGGGCGCGATGCCCATCAGGAGGAAAACCGCCTGCTGCGCCAGCGTGCTGCTCTGTCTCTTTGAAGAGAGGCTAGGCCCATCTGAGACGTCTGAACACGAAGAGAAAACCAATGTCCCGCAGGCGCATCGCATCACAGGCTCCTCCTTGACGACCTCGACGGGGTATAACGGCTGACCGAACTCTGGCGCGAAATCGAGGGCACCGAAGACCATCGCGAAATCGAACGGCGGCACCACGGGCGAAGAAACAGCCAACCCGACTGTGTCAAAGATCGGATCCGGAGGTGGCCGCGCTCCCAAACGGGGGCCGCGCTGGGCCCGCCAGACTCGGCCACCGGGCAGCGCCGAACGTCGATGCCCCCCGCCTCGGCGTGCCAGGCGACGTTGCGCCTGAGCTTGTCCCCGCAGCTGGGGATGTGGCCCGCGACCAGGGCGGCCAGGGCGGGGAGGCCCGCGAGGACCCTCTGCAAGATGGCCTCGTCGCCGACGAGCATCTCGAGGACCTGCAGCACCTCGTTCCTGTCCTGCACAGCCGCATCCAGGTCTGCCTGGAGCAGAAAGGTGAGCCGATCTGCAGAAAGGCGTGCGTAATCGCTCGAACGTGACTTCCGCGATGCACGAGTCGAGCCGATGGCGCCACCGCATGGGGCGCGTCCCGCTGCCATCACTCCGCGAGCCCAAAGCCCCCCTCCCCCCCGTCCCTCACGCCCGCCGCGTTGCCCCGTGAATCTGGGGTCGCATGCTACGCCGAGAGGCAGGGTCCAGGAGGGGGAGGGCCTACGCAAAGGCATGAGCCAAAATGGCTACGGACGTCGATTGAGTCAGATGGTTCCACCCCCATCCCCCCCCCAAACCCCCCACACCTCCTTATCACCCTCTCCCCGCCCCCACAGCCTCCTACGACCACCCTTCGGGTGATAAGGAGGTTGTGGGGGGGGAGAAGGGGGGGAACCAACATCTGGCTCAATCGATCTCACAATCGATCTCACTCAACGAGACACCACGGGCCACCACGGGTCACCACGGGACACTTGTCGATCTGACGATCGATCTCACTGCCAATCTCACTCAACAGGACACCACGGGCCACCACGGGCCACCATAAGACACCGCGAACCACCTCTCGATCTCACTATCGGTCTCAATATCGATCTCACTATCGATCTCACTCAGAGGACACCACGGGACACCACGGGACACCTCGGGACACCACATCGATCTCACTATCGATCTCGTTATCGATCTCACCATCGATCTCACTCAACGGGACACCACGGGACACCACGGGACACCTGTCAATCTCACGATCGATCTCACTATCGATCTCGCTTTTTGGGACACCACGGGACACCTCGGGGCACCACATCGATCTCAGTATCGATCTCACTATCGATATCATTCAACGGGACACCACGGGACACCACGGGACACCACTTGACGCCTGTCGATCTCACTATCGATCTCACTTTTTGGGACACCACGGGACACAATGGCGTAAGATACCTGAAGATGGTTCCCGATGACATGTCTCCAGGGGGGCCCAAGACAGCTCCAAGGGCCTTCAGTGGAGCTCCCTGTCGGGGTCACGAACTGCGCGAGAGGCGTCCAGATCCCCTGGAGTGCGAAAACACACGCAGCTGTCGCCACTTCCGCAAGCTCCTGGAAGAGGCCAACGTGGTGCAGGTGCACGGAGAGCCAGACGAGACCTCGCGGCCCCCTGGAAGGCTGTGAAGTGTGCAAACACCGTCACTTCCACACCAGCAAGGGTGGAAGTACACGCAGACCCAGACGATACCTCGCGGCTCCATGTGGGGCTGTGAGATGCACCGCTGTCGCCACTCCCGTGGGTTCCTTGGGGGTCCAGCGGAGTGGAGGCACACGCAGACCCAGCCGAGACCTCGCGGGTCCTGCTTGGGGCTGCGAAGTGCATGTGCCTCGCCATGTTCGCCTGTGTTGGCGGGACCCTGCTGTAGCCACCACGATGTTGGGAAAAGGGTATGTGTGAAAAACAAGACCGCAACACAGCTGGCTAGAACTTGGGCGGCAACGACCACCTCCCTGCAAAGTGCAGCATTCGAAGGAACACGCCCTCCAACGCCAGCCTCCGCAAGGGGCAGTCGATGCTTGGAAAACCGTTTAAATAAGTTATGGAATGGGCAACGGTTCGCGAAACTCCGCGCTTAAATGCGTTACCTTCCACGGGCCATCAGGTATGTGATCACCGAAGTGCTCGAACCCGTTCGGCGTCACGAACACCACCTCATCTACATCGTCACAGGTAGGCCCTAAATGTTGATTATGTAGTGCCCGTTGAGAACGATGCAACCAGTGGCTTTCCGATGATGAATTCCCCTGAAGGAACGCGAACATGTGCGTGTTCACAAAGTGGCGCATGTCAAGCGCCTCGCGGGACGTCCTGAACTTTACTAGCAGCGCCCAGAGGCGTACTCCATGCTCCTGAGAATTACCCCGGCTGCTTGCATTGTTTCGACGGAACCCCTGTGGGTCTGCCCCGCTGACCAAGAACGCGTTCTCCAATAGTTCGACTGCTCTCTGGGGCCTTTTCGGGATGTATAGCACATTAAGCTCATCTGGTGTGAACAGTATAGATGGTGCAGATGGTACGCGTGGCATGCGCCGATCATCTGCGTCAGCGGGACGGAGCTCTAAAAATGTGCTGCGCGTTCTAAGCACGTAAAGCCGCTTACGCGGATCCTGATGCATTGTCTCGCAATGCGGCCACGAGCCGTGAAACGCAAGGCGCCTCGAGCCGAAAGTGCTATGGTAGGGACACGCCGTCGTATTGATTGACGATGACGGCTTGCATCTGTTCAATCCGCTGGTCCCCTTTGTGGGGCCACCAACCTGCGAAGCTAAGATTAACACAGCCCTCTCTTCCTCTCCTTGTCCAGTTCCTCCTCCTCCTCCTCCTCCCTTTTCCTCCTCCTCCTCCTCTTCCTCCTCCTCTTCTTCTCACCATGGGTGTTTGTGTTGTCGACGCTAACGTGCTGCAAGAATTGGACGCGGCGCAAATCTCGCGCGACAGGGCAACACGTTGCGTTCGCTGCACTGACCCGGACATTTTTCTGAAGTTTGTGTTCCAGCTTCGGCGCGGCGCACGTTGTTCCTTCGCCAATTTGTCAGGGGCGAGGATTTCCGGGGCGGTTTGTTGTTTGTTTCGAAAAGAGAACACCAGATCGGGACAGACGTGTGTCAGCGGACCGGGGCAAGGATTTCCAGGGCTGGTTGATATTTGATTAAAAGACATCAGATCGGGACAGACTTGTGTTAGGGGACGGGAGCCACGACTTGTGGGGCGGATTGTTGTTTGATTAAAAAGGACCACCAGATCGGGACAGAACTGTGTCACGAGACCGGAGCCACGATTTCCGGGGCGGGTTGTTGTTTGATTGAAAAAGGACCCCATATCGGGACAGAATTGGGTAGGAAACCGGGTCCACGATGTCCAAGGCGGGCGGTTGTTTGCTTAAAGGGGCATCAGATCGGGACAGGTTTGTGCCACGGGGCCGGGGCCAGGATTTCCGATGCGGCTTGTTGTTTGATTGAAAAAGGACCCCAGATCGGGACAGAACCGTGTCAAGGGACCGGGGCCAAGATTTCTGGGGCGGGTTGTCGTTTGATTGAAGGGACCCCTGACCGGGACAAAATTGTCAGCGGACCGGGGCCAGGATTTCTGGAGCGGGTTGATGCTTGTTTAAAAGAACACCATACCGAAACAGAATTGTGTCAGGGGACCGGAGCCAGGATTCATGGGGCGGGTTGTCGTTTGATTCCGAAAAACAAAATCGGGGCAGAATTGTGTCAGGGGGACCGGGGACAGGATTTCTGGGGCGGGCTGTTGTTTGTTTAAGAGGACACCAGATCGGGACAGAACTGTGGCAAGGGACCAGGGCCAGGTTTTCTGGGGCGGGCTGTTGTTTGATTCAAAGAGACCCCAAATCGGAACAGAATTGCGTCAGGGGACTGAGGCCAGGATTTCTGGGGCGGGTTGTTGTTTGATTAAAAACAAACCCCAGTTCGGGACAGACTTGTCTGGGGACCGGGGCCAAGATTTCTGGGGCGGATTCTTGTTTGTTTAAGAGGAAACCAAATCGGGGCTGAATTGTGTCACGGGACCGGGGCCAGGGCTTCTGGGGCGAATTGCTGCTCGATTGAAAGACGCCCCAGCAGATCGGGACAGAATTGTGTCAGGGGACCGGGGCCAAGATTTCTGTGCGGGTTTGGTTTGTTTAGAAAAACATCACATCGGGACAGAATTGCGTCAGGGGGCCGAGATTGTCTAACCGTGCTATCGGCACCTTGCCCACGAGCATTCGGCACCTAGGATGCTACCAGTACTGGTCCCGAAGCGGGGCGACTGAACATAAGCGTCGCCTCCTGAACCTCCTCCCCCCCCTGAAGCCTTAGCCTCCTTCTCCTTCTCATTACTAGTTGAATGGCATGTCTCCTCTACGCTTTTCTTCGCAATTCGACGCGGCCGCTCAGCGCGCGCCGAGCTTCCAATTTCTCATGAACAGGCATCGCGTCGTCGCCCATCGCGCGACGACGGCGCCCCTCGAAGGCTGACTCGACGCTCAGGCTAGCCCCGTGCGCGCGCCACTATCATGAGGAGGGGCCTGCGGCTCCTCTGGACTCCTCCGCCCCCTCGGTTCCCCGTAATCAACGAGTCGCCAGCAACTCCCCCTCGTCGTGGATGACAGCAGTCTCCCCGACCAGCTTGCTGGAGATGAAAGCCTCTGCAAAACCTGCTGTTCCGCGCGTCGCTTCGCCTCTCGCTGATTCTGATTTGCCCTGCCGTCCAACTCCAAGATCACCTTGCCTTTCCGAGCTCAAACTTAGCGCAGCACGCCCCTTCTGAGCTCCACCCAGCGCGTAAAGTCTGACCGAGAGTTTTAGACGCGCTTGGTCCCCATCGCCCTCTGCCACGCAAGTCGATGATTAGCGCCTTCGCCAGCCTCCCGCTGTCGATTAAAATCAGTGCCTTCGTTGTTCCCCAAGCGTCGCACCATCGCATCGCGCGGGCCGAAACCTCGCGTGCGCCACGGGGCCGCCCAGCAGACCTACAGGCGGCAACAGGATGCAGGCTGACTAACCACAGCTTCCGCCGCCGTTCGTTTCTCCCCGACTCGCCGACCGACGCGGTGAGCGTCTCGAGGATTCGTTGTCCTCACCCATGCAGCACGGGACCCCCGAACATTTGTTTGCCCTCGCTTCTCCAGCACGAGCCTCGGGGATTCCTCAGGAGAGCCCCGCCTCCGAGACTCCTCGTCCGCGCCCCAAGATTGGCGCCTTGGTTTCTGGCCATCGCGGCGGCCGAATTGGGCGACGCTAGGGGAAGACCGACGGGCGGGCTCGAGCCGAAAAATCCCCGGTCGGAGGTGACGTGGGACGACCACCCCACATGTTCGATATCCAGATTCCACGCGCAGATCTCGAAAACTTCAACTTGGTCCGTTCGTTGTCCGCCTCTCCGTGCTCAGGTCCTCCGTCTCCGTCGTGCGGGCGGCGGCGCGGGGCCTTCGGTGGAGCTCCCACTGGGGCCTCGAAACGCGTGAGGGGTGTGCCGTATTGGCGTGCGCGGCGCACGCTGGCGGCGGCAATTAATAAGCCTTCGAAACATCGTGAGAGGTGTGCCGAATTAGATGGGCGTGCGCGACAGCGCGCGGGCGGTAAAATGGCGACCTTCTTCGGTGGAGCTCCCTATGAGGTATGGAACGCGCGAGGGTGGGGCGCCTGATTGTTGGGCGCGCCCGTGACGCATGGCGGTGGCCCCGGCGAATCTCTAGGAATCCATAAGAAGGTCCTCAGTTAGCAGTTCGAAGCAAAAATCGATATCTCTATGTTCCACAAATTTGGCTCGTTCGTGATGCGTCTCCTTCCGGTCTGGATCGAACCGAAGCCCTCATGGATTCTGTCTCAGAGTTTAGAGATTCGCCAGAAGTTCGGGCCTGGCGGCGAATCCATTCGAATATGTTGGAGGCGTTGCAGATTGAAGGCTTATATCCTTGAAGCGTCGCTAGGAAGTCAATGAAACTTCAAAGACGTCTGAAGGACTCCAACAGACCCATAAGGACTCCGCACTGAGCAACGCCGGGCCGGCCGGGCTGGCCCAGGCGCCCGGCCGGCCCCGCCGCCCGGCCGGCCCGGCCGGCCGGGGCCCTGAGGCTTGCCCAGTTCTTCGCTCCCGCCCCTGGAGCCCGGCCCGCCAAGCCCAGCCGGCTGGCCAGGCCGGGGCCCTGAGGCTTCGCTCCCGCCCCCGGAGCCCGGCCTGGCTGGCCCGGCCAGCCGGCCCGGCCGGCCGGGTCGGCTGGACCGGAACCCTGACGCTTGTCCAGATCTTCGCTCCCGCTCCCGGAGCCCGGCCCGGCCGGCCCGACCGGCCAGGCCGGGGCCCTGGGACGCGCCCAGACCCCGCCCCCCTTCACGCGCGCCTACCGAATTAATTGGGCGCGCGCGATATCATGCGGACGGTGAAATGGTGACCTTTCCTCGGAGGACCTCTCTACATGAGCTATGAAACATGCGAAGGTGGTGCGCCTAATTGACGGGTGTGTCCATAGCGCATGGCGGCGGCCCCAGCGAATCTCTAGGAACATATAGGAGAAGGCTCTTAGTTGGTAATTCGAAGCCAAGTTGATATCTCTATGTACAAAAACTATGGCCCGTTCGTTCTGCGTCCTCCTTCCGGTCTGGATCGAACCGAAACCCTCATGAAGCATGTCTCAGCGTTCAAAGATTCGCCAGAAGTTTAGGTCTGGTGGCGGATCCCTTCGAATATTTTGAAGGCTTTGCACATTGAAGGTTAAATTCCTTGAAACGTCGCTAGGAAGTCAATCAAACTCCAACAACATGATTCCAAATGAACTCATAGGGACTCCGAACTGAACAACGCCAGGCCGGCTGGGCCAGTCCCGGCGCCCAGCCGGCCCGGCCGGCCGGGGCCCGGCGCCGCCAGGCGGGATTGCGCGTCAGCGGTGAGATTGCGTTCCGCTGGTAAGTTGAGCCACGACGTGGAGCCAGCGCCGCCGCGCCCGCCTCCAAGCCAGCTCGCGGGCCACGTGGTCGAGGAGGTTCTTGCCCTTCAAATTGAGCGCCCCTGCCGAGGCGGGTACGTCATCGCCGGCGACCGCAATGGCCTCCGCCTGGCAGGTATCGCCCCATGCACACAACGCGAGGAACGCGGTGAGGTACCCCCAAAAGATCCGGCACCTTCGCGCAGACCTCCGCCAACCGCAAAGTACTCGGACGGAGCGCCGCGCACGAAGATGGCCGCCCCGCCGCTCCACGGCGACGCGTCGAACTTTATGTCGGCGTCGGCGAAGCGCTCGGGGCCGAAGCCCCTAGCCCGCCCAATCCTGCGGAGCGGGGCGAGAGCAAGGCCCTCTGGGTGCACCATTGCCCGCATCCACAGCGCGAAAGGTGGCGAACCCGCTGCATGCGACGCGGCCAGGCGGCGCTTCGCGGCCAGCCGACTCGGCGCCTGCGAGGGCCCCCCATAGCGCCGCGGCACATGGGACTGCATCCGGGACGACGCACGCTACCTGGGCGCATGTCCCCGCAACCCAGCGGGCCGCCGCCGGGGGGGCATGCCCCGAGCCCGCCGCGAACGGGGCGAACAGGTCGCGAAGACCTGCCAAGACATCCGCGGGGAGGGCGACGCAGACTTTCCCGGGTGACAGCGCAGCGAAGACCGCGCCGGTCCACGCGCGCTCGCCCCGGCACAGGGCGCCCTTCTTCCACGCAAGCGGCACGCGAGCACAAGCCGCCACGCTAGCACGAGGTCGATGGCCGCTTGAGCCGTTGCCGGGGTGCCCGCAACGGCGAGGACTGGGTCGTCGACGCAGGCGCAGCCCCCCCGGGCTGCACCAGCGCGCCCAGCAGCCGACCACACGAACGGGCGAAGCAACGCCTGCGCCGCGCGCGCAGCGAAAGAGGCAACACGGTCAAACACGACCAGGTTTGGTTCACCGCCGAAACCCAGGACGCGTCACACTACGAAATCGCACTCGGCGGCCTCCTGCGGGTAGACAGCCGGCCCGTTCCTGCAGAGCCCCCCGCCAACGCGGGCGCAATGGAACGGCTGCTCGTCAGCGCGGGGCGGCGCCGACACGGTGACGCGACGTGCTCTTCGGCCGCGGCCACCCCAAGCCCTAATCCACGAGCGGCCACGCCTGCTCGACGCCGGGCGGGCTGTCCTGGCCGTGGAGGTCGAGGAAGGACGGGCGGTTCGCGAGCTCCGCGCGGCCGGGCGCATCCCCCACGCCCAGCGACGCCTCGGATACGGCCTCTGGGAACAGACCCCCGGGCTCGATGACCCGCTCGATTCCAATCGGCGCCCCATCAGTCAGCCAGCCCTGGGGGGCAGCGTCGGGGCCCCCAGTCTGCGCCTGCACGGCGCGCACCAGCTCCGCGCGCAGATGGCGCCACTCCGCCGCGCCCGCGCCGAGGCCCAGGTGCCCCGCGACCGCCCGGCGGGCGCGCTGCAAGCAGCCCTCCCCGGGCCCGACGCGCGCGGGCGCTGCGCCGCGCGCATCTGCGAGCCCGCGCAACTCCAGGCCCCGGTCGCAGCGGTCTGCGAGGACCCCGGCAACGGGGGCCATCGCCGACCACAGGGCAGGCCGCGTCCGCCAGAAGGCCCCCGGATTCCCCGAGCCCGCGCGACACGCGGAATTATCCGCGCGCCGTTGGTCGGCAGCCGCAGTCGCGGTGGCACCGCGCAGAACGCGACGATGCACCCAGCCTTCCGCCGTCCGGGCGAGCAAGCACGTTGCCACCTCCTCGGAGAGGTCTGCCGCCGACCACGCTGACGCGCGCGGGGGCAGTTCTGGCGCGCCGGCACGGGGCGCCTCGAGCTAGGGGGGCGCTCGGACCCGGGGCGCCAGGCCCGAAGCCCCGGGCCCGCGCCCCCCCTCACTCGCGATGAACCGCGCGGTGCTCGCCGCACACGCGGCAGACGCGCTTGCGCCCCCGGCGGCGCGACGCGCGGAAGCCGTCGGCAAATTGCAGATATCCGAGGCCTCGTCCGGAATGGTGCCCTGGCCGCCGCGGCCGCCTCCGGATGGCTTCGCGGGCGCTTCGCGGGCCCAGCTGGCCTCGGCTGCGGCGGCGGTGGCGCCGGCCGCCCGCCGCGCCCGCCTCCGCCGCGCCCTCCCTGCCCGCCCCCGCGAAACAGACGGCGCGCCCTCCGGCCGGTCGACCAGGGCCCCTGCCGCCCGGCGCCCCGCTGGATGACCGCGCGGCGGGCGGGGGGCAGTCACGCGCGTCCACCACCAGCGCGCCATCTTCGTACAATCGCCCCCAAACGCGGTCTTGCTGACGACGCGCGCCCACGCCTGGTCCGCGGGGCCGCCCATCGCCAGGTGCTCCTCCATGTAGGCGCCCCACACCTCGGACCGGACAGCGTCGCGGACCCTCTGGATGACGCCCCAGGCGGTCGGGGTAGAGGAGCGAAAGCTGGCGGATGCCCTCCTCGCACGCGTCGAATGCCGAGGGGGGCGCCGCGCCCAGGGAGATGACGCGCAACCTGAAGACGAGCCAGCAAGACCGCCACGCCTCGAAGTTCGAAGGGCCAACGATCATCCGCGTCTCCAGCTCGACATCGACCCACACCTGTGACTCGAACTTCCAGGCTTTTGCCGGCCGACGGCCATGCGGCCCGAAGACGGCGAAGTCGACGCACGGTGCGGCCTTGCCGATCTCCGCTGAGACGCCGGACAACTGTGCCTCCGTCGTCCGCGCGGCTGCAGGCGGCGACCCAGCTGTGACCTCGATGTACCGCTGGCGCGCCTCCGCGATCGTCTCATCGCCGAGGATGGGGAAGGTGCCCTCGCCACCCTGGTCGAGGAAGTCCGCTACGCGCCGCTTGTCGCGAACGTGCGCCTCGCCAGGCGCTGGCGGCACGGCTCGCCCCTGGGCCGATGCCCGCCACGGGGAAGCCATCCACCTCGAGCGTCTCGAGGACTCGGACGAGGTCGCTTTCTGGCATCGACACGAAGTCCATGACTCCGGTGGCGTCGTCGCCGCCGACGGCCGCCACCAGCACCTCTCCGGGGGAACCCCGAACCCAAGGGAGTCCAGAGTGGTCGCCAGCGGCAGCCCCGCGAAGCGAGAGGGGGCGGCCCGCTGCCCGGGGACGGGCGTGCCGGGCGTCACAGACCCCGCTGCAGGTGCCGTCTCGGGCCCGGCTGGGGGCTCGGACCCCGCCGCGCCCCCGGGACGCGAGCCCATGGCTGCGAAGCCTGCAAACTCCATGGCAAGATCGGGGTATCAGTAGTAGAGGTAGACTGGCCTGGCCCCGGGAGGACCGAAGGGACTTGGCGCAGCGCGCACTCCAGCTGAGCCAAAATGGCCACGAGTGCAGTGACTCGCGTGCACATCCCAGGGGGCCGGACTTGCCCTTCGTATTCAATCTAATGCACACTACACTTCCGCGCTGCAGAGGGCCCAGAACAAGCCCCTCACCAGGCGCATCATGCAGCTCAACGCCGTTGTTCTGGCCATGCAGTAGATCAAGGCGCACATCGTTTACCCAGCGATGGAATGCGCAAGCAAGATTTGCGTGCACAACGGCGGCTCCTTCATTGGCGAAGAGGGGACAGGACACGGCATGAGAGGTGCCGTATACATGCGTCTGGGCAAGTGTCGCGGCACTGGTAAACTGATCTGAGTATGCCACTTGTTCGACGCTGTGAACCGATCTCGTGTGTCGATCGTCATTCAGCTCCGAACTGCTCGCCGCGTGTGGAGCAGCAGACGGACTGAAGGCGCACCTCCTCACGCTCCACGAAGTGATACGAGGACCCGACTCCGCCGACGAGATCAGGAGGCTGAGGGGGTTACGCCGTACCGGCCGAGCTAGTCGGAGACGGCATGTCCGTCTTCTCGTCGCTGGCCATGGACCACGTGCGCCCGCCGCCCGAGAAAAGCAATGCAGGCCACCTGTGGTGGCTAGCGGACCAGCTTCGCACCAAACAGCTGTCCGACATGCTGTGGTGCGACACCCAGGATATGCGCACGGATTCCATGACGAAGGGAAGCACCGGCTGAGAGCTGATCCTCGACGTCATGAAGGGCAAGATCGTCTACGCCCATTCCACGGTGAGGCTGAATGAGGAGCGAGGTAAGAAGGCAGTATCCAGCTCCAAATAAAACGACCTCACCAAGGACAAGGACGACGGGTAACTTAGTGCCGACTCATGTCCGAACTGTGTTCGTGATTGCCGCGCTGCACATCGAGGAGGGAAGACAAGGACACTAGCACGAGGCGAACTATGTTCGCGAAGCGAAATAGTAAGCCACTCCGAAAAAGGCGAACTGTGCGCGCACAAACGCGACATTGTTGGACACATTGATGAGAGGTTGCTCTTTTGAACTGTGTTCGAGAAGCAGCAGGTGAGTTGAGATTATGTTTGCACTTTCAATCGTCTGCTGCTATTGTTGGGGGGGGTGGCCGACTTGTTTTGGTTAGTCCCATGGCCAACAATGGGAGAAACTTCACCCTTGCCACGGGCACCGTAAAGGTTTTTGTGGCTGGCGCCGTCGGGGCCAAAGCGCCCTGGGGTGGAACGAAGTCCATCAACTGCGGGACCTACCGAAGCCGGTTAGTCCTGCCCATGGGCAATTACTGTATGAAGAACCTGGTCACTAGAAGGTTCTCTCTCACCCTGAAATTTTTTAGTTGGTCCGGGAGGCTTCTTAGTGGTTTGGCCAACGAGGCACAACGGACTCGCTTGAGCACCAGACTCGAACGGTAACATAGTGACAGGTAGTAACATGTGCAGCATGGCAGCCAGGCGGGCAGAGGGGGTTATCAATGGGTGTTTGGCTCAAGGGTGGCCACCCTCGGCGCCCGCTTTACAGATGACTTCTGTTACCATCGCTTTACAAGGCTCTAAGGAAAAGCATCGCTTTCTCCACACCACTTTACATTCTAGTCTCCTCCTCCTCCTCGTCCTCCTCCCCCTCCTCCTCCTCCTCCTCCTCCTCCTCCTCCTCCTCCTCCTCCTCCTCCTCCTCCTCCCTCTGTCACTCTTCATCGAGTTGTTCATTGTTTTGCGTGTGTCTGTTATTCTCTGGCTAACGCCACACCGCCGACCCCTTAGGGTGCTTTGTTTGGGTGCGTCGGTTTTTTTTGTGGGGCGGGACCTGGGCAGTCTGGCTGCAGATGCAGGCTTTGTGGTGTACGTGTGCGTTTCCAGGTAGGGGTGGGGCGAGGGGGGTCTCAAAGTGTCATGTGTTAGTGTTCCGTGCGCGTTGTTCCATTGAGTGGCGCAGTATGGGTTGCAAGCGGGTCGCCCATCAACGTGCGCAATTCATCAACCCGACTGGGCTCTAGGGGGAGGGGTTTGTGGAAGGCGACACATCACACGCGCCGATGATCCCCAAGGGGTCGGCGGTTTTCACGCCGCCCATATATGAAAGCGGAGCAGCGGTTCCTTCCGCGGTTCCAGCGCAGATTCTTGTTGAGGTGTCAAAAAATAGAGTAGCGCTTACGGTTTTCGTGGCCCGCGCCCGCGGCTGGCGTCGCAGCCACAGCGCGGAATTCGAGGCAGGGTTCTGCAACATGATGTGAGGTCCGCCAGCACAAGGGGGAAACACGACCACCTTCATCAAGGTCGTCATCATCGTCGTCATCATCCTCACCATCATCATCGTCAGCATCGCCATCATCATCGTTATCCTTCTCACGTGTTTGAGTGTTTTCTCGATGGTCGTGTTCCTCATTCCCGCTCGTTTTTCTTTTTCCCCACATCCAAAGTGGGGTTATTGTTTTCTCTGGACACCCCGCGCGGGAACAAGAACCCACCATCATCATCATCACTCATTCCTCACTCAATCACTTACTTACTCAGCATCCCTCACTCACTCATTCACTCACTCACTCACTCACTGACTCATCAGCACTCACATATGATGAGGATGACTGTGCGCGTGAGAGAGTGTGATGATCATCATCACCACCACCATCATCACACGGCCCTATCACTCATCATCATCAATATCATCACCACACTCATCATCATCATCATCATCATCATCATCATCATCATCATCATTCGACCACTCATCATCATCATCGTCATCATTATCATCATCGTCATCACCATCATCACCATAATCATCATCACTCACTCGCCATCACCATCACTCACTCATCGCATCGTCATCGGTCCCATGTGACTGTCGTCACTTTGGGGGCTTCTGAAGGTTGACTATGGGGGAAGCATGAGGCGGGAGTTTCGTCTGTGAGTGAATTGCGAGGAAGTCTCACGCGTGAGCCCCCTCCGTATGGGGCCCGCAGATCATGTTAGTAACCCGAGCGTGCCATCGGAATCTTGTAACTGTCGTCACCTTTGGGCTCCTCAGGCCTGAATTGGGAGGAAATATCAGGCGGGAGCCTCGTCTGTGAGTGAATTGTGAGGAAATCTCAGGCGGGAGCCCCCTCCCTTCATGTTAGTAATCCGAGCGGGTCATCGGAATCCTGTAACTGTCGTCACTTTTGGGCTCCTCAGGCCTGAATTTGGAGAAAATATCAGGCGGGAGCCTCGTCTGTGAGTAACTTGCGAGGACGTCTCAGGCGGGATCCCCTTCCCTATGGGGCCCGCAGATCATGTTAGTAATCCGAGCGGGTCATCGGAATCTTGTAACTGTCGTCGCTTTTGGGCTCCTCAAGCTTGAATTTGGAGGAAGTATCAGCCTGGCCCGCGGGGTTGTCCCGACGGCTGCGCGACGCGGCCATCAGAGAACGCGCCAGTGCTGGCCGAGGCGGCGACGGCGCCGAGGAACATCGACTTGCTTTCCCCGACCAGGGGGAGGGGGAGGTGCACGTAGAGAGGCGGCAGGAGGAAGATGAGGAAGGGGAGGGTATGGGGGAGGGCGATGATAAGGAGGAGGTGGAGAGGGAGGAGGGGGAGGTAGAAGGAGGGGGAAGGGAGAAATAGAAGAAGGAGGGAACAGAGGGCAGAGGAGAGGGCGAGAGGAGGGTGTTTGCCATGGCCAGGAGGAAATGGGGAAGGGCACGCCAAACAAAACAGATTATCATGTGGGGTCCTTCTGTCGGAGTAATTGTTTTCTTCCTTCTCGGGCTAAATGTGCCTTTGTGTCTAAGACTGGCATTCTTCTGCCATAAATGGTGGGAGAGGGGGGGGTTACAGGACGCGCACTTGATGCAACGGAGAGGGGGTACGGGGGAGAAATTTCGGCGGAGGAGCACGAAGTCGCGGAGGGAGGATCGGCGAGAGGGTGAGCAGGCAGGTGGTCTTCATGCTCCCTCTCCCTCTCATCCTCAATTCTCTTACCCCGACCAAAATCCGCTCAGAATCGTTCCTGGACTCCTCCCAAGGCCCATTCGGTGCAGTTTTCTACGCGGATCCGTTTCGGACGGCCCCGGGGCCCGAGAACCGCCCCGCAGAGGCCGAGGAAAGCGAAAAACGTCCTCGAATTCTGACGTCCGATGTCGCGATTGTTTCGAGACGCGGTTTCTGGGGGGGTCCCGACCACATCCTGGGGACCGGTTTGTTATCCTGGTATGAGTTGTTTATTTGACGTTCCTGGAGCCCGTTGAGGGCCCCCCGGGGCCGAAAATCAACAACAACTTCGTGTCGACTTATTCGACACGTCGGAGATCTGGGAACGTCGAACCTGGAACCCTCTCCTCCTCCGCGCGCGGCAGCGCTTCCTTGCGCAAGCCTCGGGAAGACGAGTAGTTCTTGGGTGTTCAGGACGGGTTCCGGCGCGGGGCCCTGAGCGGACGGACGCACCAGTTTCTGCACGGCCGACCGACGGACGTAGCCAGATCGTGGGTGGGGTGTGGGCCAACGTGCGGGTCAGAGCACTGCGCGAAGAATGCAAAGGCCATTGCAAGAGACAACGCGCAGGAGTGCGGGCTTTGTCAAGCAGAGCGCCGTAGACGGCAGTTGGTCGCGACGGGGCCAGATGACGAACGGTTCTTGTTGCCAGAGTTCGTAAAGGCAACAGCGATTTACCCGAACCAGGATGTGAAATGCAAAGTCGCGCGCCAGCGTGCCGTAGACTGGGCCGCGA